CCTCCCACCATCACACGATTGGCTGTTGTTGATGGTGTTGCTGTGGGCGGACGCTGGACGCAGTGGGGGTCACTGATCCACAGTGTGGGGGTGGTAGCTTGGAGAGGACGTGTTTAGTAAGCATCAAAAGTCGGCAGGCGTCTTAGATGGTATGCACGTCTCTTAACGTTCGATTTTGCGTATATATGTATGTAGAATTACTATGAACCTGGCATACACGTCCTGATACACTTCCGGCTTCAGTTGTATATAAAAGCCATCGTGATTCTCAAAACGACACAGTCAGGATCTTCAGTCCAACACTCACGGGTTGCTCTCTCCATCATGAAGATCTCGTATCTGCTTGTTCTGCTTTTGTTGGGTGAGTATTTCCAATGCTAAGATCGATATGAAAATGTAAAATTTCGGTAGTCGAAATTTCTTGATCTATCATCTTTTAGGGATAAGGAACATGTTTGGTGCTTTGTGAGTGAGTGAGTTTAGTTTTACGCCGCACTCAGCAATATTCCAGCTATATGGCGGCAGTCTGTAAAAAATCGAGTCTGGACCAGACAATCCAGGAATCAACAACATGAGCATCGATCTACGCAATTGGGATACGATGGCATTTGGCAATAAGTTGTGTTTGATCAAATGCATGCTGCAATTATGTAATGCACGGGTCTGCAAGTATTACTCACGAAGGTTTTGCTTCTATTGAGTTATTTGTCTTTCAGGATCTTTGCTTGCATTTGACTTGACTGGCGCTCATCGTCATCGCCGATGTCGTCGCCATCGTCATAGACGTCACCGTCGTCATCGACACCATGGTTGACTTATCGGTACACATTCTGAATGGAACAGGCCAAAGTAAACCTTAATTCTACCTTCGATGCGAAATGGTTGAATGGTTTGTTCTCAGTACAAAATACCTATGTAATGAAATGTAAAGAATGTGTAGAAATATAATTGTGACATTTCATATGAGGTCTCAGTGGTACCCATTTATTTTAAAAAATCTGAAGAACAATGTCTATCATATTTGCTATACCATCAGTTGTAAAATGATTTTAGGTGCATGCTATACACGTAAAGGTCAATGTAAGCATAGCTCCCTCACGTGTAAGTATTAGTTTTCCTCGCAAGACTCTCGCGATTAAAAGGGTTTAGTGTATATGAAACACCTATAGAGGAGGTAAAATGGGACAAGATTTGAAATGTGTAGACATTAAAGAATCCTGAGGTATTTCTTTCTTTCCGTATGAATCCGTGAAAATCCGGGTTAGAATTGATAATTCAGTAACCAATGCCTGTCGTAAGAGGCGACTAACGGGTCTGGACCAGACTCGATTATTTACAGACCTCCGCCATATAGCTGGAATATTGCTGGGTGCGGCGAAAAACTAAACTCACTCACTCGCTTTCTGTATGATATAGATTTCGTATGGATGTGGAAAGGGCTGTGTCACCAGTTTCAAGTGGCCGTATCTGTTTATCTGTTTATCTCCCTATTGAACGTTGGATCATTTTACGTGTACTGTCAAGAGACAAAATAAGAGATGATTTTTTGTTTGTTTCAGGTCTTGGTCAGAAAACAACCCTGCATATACTTTGGAAAAATGTACATATTTTTCAGTAAATAAACAGTTACTGTATAAGCGCCTAATGTTTTGTCGTGATAAAGAGGACTTATGTTCGTTCTGAAGTTAGGCAGTCGTACGTGACATGGTAGCTGAACATTGTACCAAATATGGGAGTGAAGGGATAGAAAGAGACAACACCTCAGTGGAGAAACAGAGGAGCATAGGTATTGGAGCAGAAACTCTGGTGTAAACAGAATTCGAACCCGCAATCAACGTTTTTAACTACATATTACCTTGGACATCCGCAAACCGAAACATGAGTCGCATTAACCTATTCAGACAATGACCTACTTTTCAGCCAATCCAAATTTTCTTGTGTGAAAGTGAAAAGAGACACCACAAACAACTATGGTTACACTGAATTTTAATTTCTTGTTTCATAAGAAAATGGTATTTACAAGTTAATTTTAATTTTAAACTTTAATAACATCGTATTTCTATATTTTATGGCGAGGTGTGGGCAGCATGACCTTAACTAAGACGTCACAGACTGCCCCAAATACAGTTTATGGAATAAGCCCAAACACTGCCAGATATCAGGGCTGGTAACTTCAAAATGTTACCAGGTAACAATGGATTTAACCAGACCAGACACCAAGATATGCTGAATTTCCTCAGATGTATGGAACAGCTCAAGTTTTTACCAGACCATCGCCCTGGCAAGCTGTAAATTTAGACCGTCCGTCAGAAACCTAGTCCGTCTCGGAGGGGCCTTATTTCATACACTGATTTCTACCATACATCATCCGCTCATATGATACGTACATATTGACTAGGGCTGGGACGGGTCCAAAATTACTACCCGGGTTCCCCACCCATTTTACCCTACTCTACCCTACCCGGACTCCCGTTATGTAAAGTCCTGATATCAAATTTGCAAGAAATGGCAACATATTCTTCAGCTCAGAGGCTAAAATTTCGAGTTTTTAATGTCTTAACCATGTGTAAAAACCTTGGAGTCAACTTTGTGTGCAGACTCTTTCAGTGTTGTCACAACCCCTAGTGTACAGTACACAACCCTGTGCACTTAAAAGAACCCACGAATCCGTTGGTATATGACCAGATGGTGGCCACACGAATACGTACAAACACCTAGTTGCGGGTACAGCAACGTGCAGTAAATTTGGACAAAATACTGTGACTATGTGTCCCAGTCCACCCAGCAGTGAATGGGTACCTTGTTAGGATGAGAAAGCCACAGTAACTCGGTGCGCCTAGTGGCGGCAAGAGTTGTATACTCCCCAGGAGTTGAGATTGATACTATGATGTTCCATTGAGATTGACACTTGTCACTAGCCACCACGTCAGGTTTCACAGACGTGTCTCCCTTCTACCAGCAGGGATGTGGCGGTTGTTGATGGTGCTGGTGTGATGATGCAGAGCAGTCACTGGTCGCCGTCGGGGCCATTGATGCATAACATGGTGGCAGTCACATGGAGACGACAGGGTCACTGAACGTGGACGTGGACGTCAACAGTCAGCAGCCGCTATGGGCGGTATACACACGTATCCTTCCGAGCATTCTGGCATATATACTATCCAAAAAAAGAAACTCATAGGCCAGAAATCCGTTGCGAAAATGTTGTATTTTCAAACATGTATAACTCGTCCACAGACTTTAGTGCATGAATTTTTACATCAGCTTAGAAGAAGGAAATGTCTATACAACCAAGTGGATAATTTTAGATAACGGAGGGTTTAGCGCGATGGTGACGACATAGCACGGTCCCGCCGTCGGGTCTCCTGGCTCTCAGTCCAATCTCTCTCAACCTGTTCCGTACAGTTTGACCGGATATCCTCCGAAATCCAGACACCCTGGCTGCTGTGCTCTCACCCGTGGCAGTACCATCACGCAAATGTAGTACCCGGATGTACCGATCTTGGGCTGCAGTGGTGACTCGAGGTCTGCCTGTACGGGGACGGTCATTTGTTGTACCTGTTTGGTTGTAACGAGCTGCAAGCCGTGATATCGTGCTCAGACGCCTGGCAACAGAAGACTGGTAATCTCCACGCTGCATTCTTTCAATGGCGATGTTCCGCGTCACAGCGTCAAGACGTGACGTAGTGATTTGACCTTGAAACTCCTTCAAAACGAATGCCGGTTTCCGTAAGTAATTTGGATTTTATAGCCAGACAGTGCATGCTGTTTGCTGCACAATTTTAACTTGAAGGTGATTTTTGTTGCACTGTGGCGATGCGTTTTTAATCCTTGCAAGAAATCTCATCAAAATCAACATTTTCAGGTAAAGTGGATTTTTTTTACTTGTGCAATTGTGTAAAAATCATGTTATCAACACTTTTGTTACATATACTCATGCCAATAATGGTTGTCACCCCCTCCCACCCAACCCCACACACCCCCTCTCAAATTAAAATAAATTGAAGGGGGTGACAACCATTATTGGCATGAGTATAATTTGACGATTGTCTGAACACAATAGGTAATTAATAGATTTTAAAAATACAAAACGCTATGAGTTTCTTTTTTGGGATAGTATATTATATTCAAAAAAGTGACTGTAAATTATGTCAAATCTTCAAAGAAGATACAACCTTTTAATCATGAAATAACAACATATTGTATTGTTTAATCTATTAGTCACATGATCATAACGGGTCCGGGTACTGAGACGGGTATCCGGGTCCAACTCACTACCCACCCGTCCCAGCCCTAATATTGACCCATTTTAAAAAACCGTTATGAAAACCGTTAAAGGTATTAACAGACTTTTCTCAGGCAGAAGGTACACACGTCTAATTCTGCCACTGCTATCTCATGGTTGTTTTAGCGAAATTACTCGTTGATTCCATATCTCCGAAACAATGAACCCTACATGTATTCTTATGTGGACTCCTATGAACATCACATCCTCGTATCATACTTAAAACATGATAAACGAATAAACAATAAACAAACAAATAAAACAGTCGGTGACATGGTCGGCCCTTCCAGCGACCGTGGTCATTTGTTTGTCAGGTCCAAGAACCGTGCATGAGCGTTTCACGACGGAGGTTAACAACAGCCTGTAAGTCATTTCTGCCTTAATAATAAACCCGTGAAGATCCGGGTTAGAATTTGTCTTCAGCAACCCATACTTGTAAGAGACGACTAACGGGATCCGATGGTCGGGCTCGAGTGGTACGGCTTGCTTATTTGGTTAACACATGTTATCGTATCTCAAGTACTTAGATCGATGCTCATCCTGTTGATCTCTAGATTGTCTGGTCGATTATTTACAAACCGCCGTCAAATAGATAGAATATTGCTGAGTGCGGCGTTAAACAATAAACAAACAAACAAACAAACAAAATAATAAATCTGTGTCATTTTCGAGCCTGCGGCCTCATTATCTGGACAAAACATGAGATGTTTATATTTCACTCTATTTATTGATTGATATGTACATCAACGTAATCCGAACTGAAGGCAGAGTTATATTTTCTGACGAAGATCTGAAAGGAAGACATCATAAAATAATTAACATTACAAGAAATTATTCGACAGTATATTAAATATAAAACATGATGCTTATTTCCAGCATGCAGATTTACTGCATTAAGGGGTAATTTCAGTTCTTGTTAATTCTGTTCTACGTTATAAAATTTTAAGAAATTATTCTAAAACTTTCAACCATCGAGGGTTTCCAGCTTACCATGGCAAGTTACACATTGCGTAGGCATCTGCAAGTCAACCATGGTGTCGATGACGACGGTGACGTCTATGGCGATGGCGACGACATCGGCGATGACGATGTGCGCCTGTCATGTCAAATGCAAGCAAAGATCCTGAAAGAAAAATGACCCAAATAGAGGAAATACAATTTTTCGGGAATTAGTTATTTTCAGTTTCATCGAAGACAACTAAACTGAGCGTTCTTGTTCAAGACGCAGGGATACAAAAGCTCTAAATTGTGCGTGAGTGAGTATGGTTTAACGTCGCTTTTAACAATATTCCAGCAATATCACGACGGGGGACACCAGAAATGGGCTTCACACATTGTACCCATGTGGGGAATCAAACCCGGGTCTTCAGCGTGACGAGCGGACGCTTTAACCACTACGCTACCCCACCCCTCTAGATAGAGATGTTGCTAACCCTTAAGATAAGAAATGTAGAAGTTTCGTCCACTGGACAACATATCAATATGTTTAAACTTAATTTCAGGAACTACTTACCCAACAAAAACACAACAAGGAGATAAGAGATCTTCATCGTGGACAAAGCGATCCGTGTATGTTTGGCTGAAAGATCTGACTGTGTCCGTTAGCCTAGCACAGTGTGAGTGTGATATATATATATACAAGTGAACTCGGAAGTTTATTTGGAAAATAGTTCAGTTGATGCCATTTTGGTTCTGTTAAGTAGGTGCTGCCTGCTGTTTGTTGATACTGACAACCACGTCAAGCTTCACAGACGTGCCTCCCTCCCACCATCACACGATTGGCTGTTGTTGATGGTGTTGCTGTGGGCGGACGCTGGACGCAGTGGGGGTCACTGATCCACAGTGCGGGGGTGGTCACTTGGAGAGGACGTGTTTAGTTTGCATCAAAAGTCGGCAGGCGTCTTAGATGGTATGCACGTCTCTTAACTTTCGATTTTGCGTATATGTGTATGTAGAATTACTATGAACCTGGCATACACGTCCTGATACACTTCCGGCTTCAGTTGTATATAAAAGCCATCGTGATTCTCAAAACGACAGTCAGGATCTTCAGTCCAACATACACGGGTTGCTCTCTCCATCATGAAGATCTCGTATCTGCTTGTTCTGCTTTTGTTGGGTGAGTATTTCCAATGCTAAGATCGGACATGAAAATGTAAAATTCCTGTAGTCGAAATTTCTTGATCTATCATCTTTTAGGGATTAGGAACATGTTTGGTGCTTTGTGAGTGAGTGAGTTTAGTTTTACGCCGCACTCAGCAATATTCCAGCTATATGGCGGCAGTCTGTAAATAATCGAGTCTGGACCAGACAATCCAGGAATCAACAGCATGAGCATCGATCTACGCAAATGGGATACGATGGCATTTGGCAACCAAGTCAGCGAGCCTGACCACCTGATCCCTTTAGTCGCCTCTAGCGACAAGCATGGGTTACTGACGATCAATTCTAACCCGGATCTTCACGGCTTTGGTGCTTTGTACTGTGCTGTATTCACTGGGTTTCTCAATTTCTTTCCCAAAAGGACATTCAAATCAGTTGTATTTGATCAAACGCATGCTGCAATTATGTAATGCACGGGTCTGCAAGTATTACTCACGAAGGTTTTGCTTGTATTGAGTTATTTGTCTTTCAGGATCTTTGCTTGCATTTGACTTGACTGGCGCTCATCGTCATCGCCGATGTCGTCGCCATCGTCATAGACGTCACCGTCGTCATCGACACCATGGTTGACTTATCGGTATACACTCTGAATGGAACAGGCCAAGGTAAACCTTAATTCTACCTTCGATGCGAAATGGTTGAATGGTTTGTTCTCAGTACAAAATACCTATGTAATGAAATGTAAAGAATGTGTAGAAATATAATAATTATTATTATTATTAAATGTAGGAAATATAATTGTAGAAATAACGGCACATTCATCAATGAGGTCTCAGTGGTACCTATTTATTTTTAAAAATCTAAGGAACAATGTATTTTATATTTGCTATACCATCAGTTGTAAAATGATTTTAGATGCATGCTTTACACGTAAAGGTCAATGTAAGCATAGCTCCCTCGCGTGTAAGTATTAGTTTTCCTCCCAAGACTCTCGCGATTAAAAGGGTTTAGTGTATATGAAACACCTATAGAGGTGGTAAAATGGGACAAGATTTGAAATGTGTATACATTAAAGAATCCTGAGGCATTTCCTTCTTTCCGTATGAATCCGTGAAAATCCGGGTTAGAATTGATAATTCAGTAACCAATGCTTGTCGTAAGAGGCGACTAACGGGTCTGGACCAGACTCGATTATTTACAGACCGCCGCCATATAGCTGGAATATTGCTGAGTGCGGCGTAAAACTAAACTCACTCACTCGCTTTCTGTATGATATAGATTTCGTATGGATGTGGAAGGGGCTGTGTCACTTTTATTCTAAAGCTTCAAGTGGCCGTATCTGTTTATCTGTTTATCTCCCTATTGTACGTTGGATCATTTTACGTGTACTGTCAAGAGACAAAATAAGAGATTATATTTTTGTTTATTTCAGGTCTTGGTCGGAAAACAACCCTGCATATACTTTGGAAAAATGTACATATATTATATAAGTAAATAAACAGTTACTGTATAAGCGCCTAATGTTTTGTCGTGATAAAGAGGACTTATGTTCGTTCTGAAGTTCTCAAGACAACGTCGCAGTTACAGTCATGCAGCCGTACGTGACATGATACCTGAACATTGTACCAAATATGGGAGTGAAGGGATAGAAAGAGACATAACCTCAGTGGCGAAACAGAGGTGCATAGGTATTGGACAGAAACTCTGGTGTAAGCAGAATTCGAACCCGCAATTAGAGTTTTGAACTACATATTACCTTGGACATCCAAACCGAAACATGAGTCTCATTAACCTATTCAGACAATGACCTAGTTTTCAGCCAATCCGAATTTTCTCGTGTGAAAGTGAAAAGAGACACCACAAACAACTATGGTTACACTGAATTTCAATTTCTTGTTTCATAAGAAAATGGTATTTACAAGTTAATTTTAATTTTAAACTTTAATAACATCGTATTTCTATATTTTATGGCGAGGTGTGGGCAGCATGACCTTAACTAAGACGTCACAGACTGCCCCTGTTTGATGAGGTCGTAAAATGATTCACAAGTAATCTGGCTCACTGGTTACACCTGTTATGTGTTCTTTGCGCTTATTCAGTGTAGTTTTGTAACGCACAATGTGATTGATATAATATCAAGTCCGTACCAGACCGTCAAACTTTTGTAGTGGGAGAACCTCGTTTTGAGATTTTCACGATTTCCAGATTTCCTTTTGTCAGAGCACGCTGTACGACATAGCACGCTGCACGACGTGTTTGCAAGGATTAGAAGGAGCGTAGTGTTGCAATATACAAGTGGTTAGATGTATCAAATAATACTGATTAAGATTTACGTATCCAGTTGAATGAATTGGTTTCCAAATTCTGGACTGGTTATTGTGCGCAATAGGACGGAACCCAGTCAGCAGGAAACGAGACTGTTGTGTAATCAATGTTTTTTCACGGTGAACCAACCTTCATGTTTAAGTAACTTGGAAATAATGAATTCTCTACTAATGTCTTTCTTACTCTGAACCGCTGTACAATATTGCAGACATGTCGTGGTGTATGTTTATAAAAACAGCTGACACTCATTACTCCAGCGAGTATAGTACGGGATGTGACGTTCATAGACACCCCGCGTTACTATACATGTGCGCGTAGGTCTGGGTTTTCTTGAAGGTGATTGGGAGGACCTCAGGTTATTGTGATGCCATTATGCCTTGTTTGATGGATCTCTGGACTGACTGACTGACTGACTGACTGAGTTTGGTATTACGCCGCTTTTAGCAATATTCAAGCAACATCAAGGCGGGGACACCAGAAATGGGCTTCACACATTGTACCTATGTGGGGATTCGAACCCGGGTCTTCGGCGTGACGAGCCAACGCTTTAACCACTAGGCTACCCTACCGCCCCTGGATCTCTGGAACGTATGTGACATAAAGACAACAGTCAGTTCACTTCATGCTTGAGCTTTATTGAGTCGCAATGTACGGAATACTTATGTTCCAAAACCGCAAAACAACGAGTGATATCTATGGAATCCCAGAGGGGCATTGTCTCTCTATCGCCCTTACATGAAGTAACAATATTGCAACATTGTATGGAATCACATACGCCCATTTGTCGCATTGTCGCGATGTCGCGTGTCGCGTGTCGCGTTTTGGTTTAATTTGCCTCACTTTACTTGTTTTTGACAACGCGACAATGAGACATAGCGACAATGTCCCTTCTAGGATTCCATAACATTGTGACCAAACAGGGACGCCATATTTCCAGGTTAAAACATGTGACACAATTGTCGAGATGGTGTACACGTCAGCAGCATGCATGTAGAGACTAATGGCTGAACTAAAACATGTTGACTTATGATATCTAATTACAATTTAGGTAAAACATATTGGTGCAGATATTTCCGATTGTGAACATTGACCTATACGGAATTTTGATCAGGGATATCAATTGCTGCGCCTGTTTGAAGGCCATCGTCACTTGACAATGGAGACCTTTAGGGACAGACAGAGTTTAGTACTGTTATTCAAGGGCGACTGAAGTCAGGAAGCACAAAACGTGATCCTAGGGGCCGTACATAATTTATGGCTTGGGGGAGTGATGATGATTTTTATGGAGAAGCATGTGCAATGTGAATTACCCCCACCTAAAATTTATGTTCACGACTGGGCCTTGTCTAAGCTCAAGGAGATGAAAATAGTTTAGGACTATTTCCAAGGAAAGATAATTCTGAATTTCCAAACATGGCTACTCTATTTGACCTCATTTCACATTTTACTACGCGCGATTTGACTGGTTTGCCACGATTCTTAACAATAATGGCGTACTATACAGGTACGAGTCTTCTTGTAGGTCTTGGTGAGAGACGAGTGGTTTCGAATGGATCACCACATTGTGAAATGTGTTCGTGTGGTTTTTCACTGGTAGCCCAGCACAGTTCCTTTGGGTTTTCTAATAATATTGAATACCTCTTTCCCAGTCTCAGCAAGTTTACCATATTTTTTCATTCATGGGCTTTGGTAGGGGTTTCTGAATCCATCATTATATTGTGTGAAATACCAAACACAAATTAACTCCAAATCACATTGTGTCTGACCCTTCATTGTATTGAGACCCACAGTATCTCAGAAAGACGAATTGCTAATCTTCCATTCCAGCTTTACTATGATGAGTGATTGAGTTTACCTTTACGCCGTTTTAAGCAATATTCCAGCAATATCACGTGGGGGACACCAGAAATGGGCTTCCCACATTGTACCCATGTGGGGAATCGAACCCGGATCTTCAGCGTGAGGTGCGAAGGCTTTAACCAATAGGCTACCCCCACCCCCATATCATTGATAATGATGTGATACCCTCAGCTAGATTGTTAAAGAAAAATGTTTGGGGCAACAAAAAAAGATTAAACAAAACATTATTTGCATCTAGGTCTTGATGAGACAAAATGATCATTTACAGATATTGTGAGTCCAATCAGTTTAAAGAGAGCATCAGAGTTCAAAT